TACACTAGACCACATGTATACTGCCTCATAAAAAGTACTAAAGTATAGTAAGTGACTGGAAGGAACACTACTTACTTACTTTATTGCTAATTGTGAAGACCAAAAGGTTATTTAGAAACCTCCGTTCAGTGACTGTACTGTAAACTGTGCAGAAAAATGTTAGCATACTTATATCGAAGTTCTTGAGCGACATCTCGCGGTCTTACGTAGAAACTACATGTTGAATGACGTCACAACGGAATGTTCCACTGTATTAAAAAGGGGGAAACAGTTTGAATTAAAAGTCTATCATCGTGAGTTTTCCGCTTCTTTTTGAAATTGTTTCGAGACTGCAATATCTACTTTATTTTAAAACGCGTTTATAATCGCTTGTTTTAAGAAGAAAAATAAAAATCAGCCGTTAGCGGTAAAATGAAAGTATTGTTTTCACCTGTGTTAGTAACGAAGAAAGTGCTCAGAGATACAGGCGCCTTTTCTGAGCTCATGTTGTAGGCCGACTGTTTTTAGCCACAATTAGCATTCAGTCAACAGTAAGCCATCACTTCGAGTTTAACAATACAACATGGCTACTAAAAAGAAGCGAATGCCTAATATGCAAAATGACAGCTGGGTTGTCATTGCTGCAGGTACTTGAAGCAGTCATTCAATTTATGCTCACTAACTAAAGCTAGCTTGCTAATTCACGTTACGGAAATACAAAAGTTATTGATAACTGTCACCACGTAAATTACTAAAGGTTACATTTGAGTTATTATGCTTTGCTTTAACCACGCATTACAGGCACTATTGCATTACTACTTTGAGGAAGTCTAATGGAGGATCTTTTGTTTTGTTTTTGTGTCCCCAGACTCTGCCATCGACACACAGAAGCATGAAAGTGAACCAGCTTTTGTGAGACTGAGGAACCCTGTTACAGGCAAGTCTTGTTATACATCTATTTATGGCTGCAACTAACAATATCATAAGGCACTGAACAATGTGCATGTTAAGTTTAAATAGCCCTAGTGCACGTTATCAAAGCCAAAGCATTCCAGGTGTTGTCCAGCAAATTTTAAAACCTTAGAAAATTGTAGTTTACTATCATAGATGATTATGAAAATAACTTATTATTCACATGTAAAGGACAGAGATAATAGCATTTTAGACACTTTTTATAATGATTGACTGTGTTTTTAGTAGTGCTATGGAGCCTATCACTGGATATAAACATCACTTTAGTTTGTATACAAGAAAACTCCACATGGCCCTTTTTAATTAATCAAATGTGTTGAACATCAAGGATCAAAGTGAGTGTTTGATGCTGCCCTAACCAATCTAAAACTGTTTTAACATAAAGTCCACATATGATTATTGATAACACGATAGCAAAATTAAGAATTTTTCCAGCAGTCTAATTCTGTATCTTTTGCATTTGCAGATGTGGTAGTGAAAGTAACTGTTCCTCTTTTGTTTTGTCCTGCAGATGCAGCTTCTCTGTATATGTTGAGTGGTGGTGATGTGCAGCTGTTTGAGGTCAAAGCGTTTGAAGAAGATTTCCACTCCTGGTTTGTTGGCCAGACTGTACAGAGAGGTTGGTTTCATGCGTCATTACAGTGTGAACTCAAGCTAATCATAATCATACACACTGCTACATTACTTTAAGTCTACTATTTGCAGTAATTCTAAGTAGTAGTAGTAGCAATAGTTTTGTACCAAACACTTTGAGCAGCTTGGTTCCACTTACAGAGCTCTAAATAAGCCAATCATCAATGCAGGAACCTCACGTGCATTAGTCATAAAAACTGAAACAAATATCCAACATTTAGAGGAACAGTGTCTGTATATTATGACGACATTTGCCAAGCACAGACAAACAACCTCTAGAAAGACGAACTGCTGACACAAAATAAGTATAACCATCAGGTCTGTGATTGACAACAGGTTCCCAAAAAAACACATACCTTTATAACTCTGTGCGTTTAAATATTCAGAAATGCTGCACCTTTATTCTGTCATTTTACCTATGGTCATGATTTAACCATATGTTTATTTCATCAACAGATGGGAGACTTCTCTTTGTAACACCAATGGATCCTCTCTATCTAATGTTGCCCTATTTGGTCAAAGTGGGCAAAGAGGTAAGAAACAGAAATCTGTGTAAATGTGTGTATAAGACTCCTTTTTGAAATTGTCAGAAGGTGTTAACGCTGGTGATTTGATATCACATTAGTGCATTTACTGTACTAGAATCAAGGATCCGCTACAAAATTGAATGGTCTCTGCAATGGCCGAAGCTACATCCTTATCAAAATCGGGCTGTAGTGTTTCTGTAATTCTGCTGACAAACAAACAAACAAACAAACAAACCACCAAACAGAGAACATAACCAGCTTAATATAAGTAATAATTACAGGGGTGGGCATCACAACATTAATTTACAGTAGAGGATAAATAGAGGGCCCCTGATATGACTTAAAGTGGACCTATCATGCTATATTATAATATAGTGGAGGACCATACCTATATAAGGCATATTTATACTTTTTTTTTTTTCAAAATACCAAACAGATCATGCATTTTAGCCATGCCTCATTTCGCTCAATTTGACAATTTCTAGCTCTGTTTTTGCAAGGGCAGATTCAGTGAGAACAGCACCATCTACAGGCCTGGCATATGTACTACAGCGTCTCCAGCGCTTTCGAACGGCAATGGCCGTGGCTGTCTCCTCCTGATTGGTGGAGTTGGCCCAATAGCCGTAGCGCCACCGTCCTGACGTCAGGACAGTGTTCAAATCTGGATCAGTTTTTATCAGATCCGTTGCAGCCCCTTTTTTAGAGATTTGGGTATGGAGGAAAATAGAGAGGGTTGTGTTTTCTGACACTTGGTGAGTTCCCTGGAACACCGGGGACACATATTCATGTCTAAAAGACGTACAAAAGTGCATTTTGCATGATAGGTCCCCTTTAAGCATTGTATAAATGATTGTAAATAATTTCAGTAATTTAAATGTTGTAACTTACTCCTCACATATGAAGGACGTTTAATGATCTTTTCCCTCTGCTCAGGGGAAGTTCCAGCCCTTGGATCAGGTCGTTATGGACGAGGACTTCCCGGCCTGTCCGAGGCTGCTGAGCTGCACGCGTGCCCTGTCCCACATTGCAGAGGAAAAAGGTGAAGTTTATTATATATATATAATATAATGTTCCTCAGCTATTATGCTGATTGCATTGTTTAAATATTGTGTTTCATAATTCCAGAGGTGGGAGGAGTCAAGTTTCATCGCTACAGTCAAGAGAAGACGATGAATTGGTTGAAGAAAAAGGTAAAAACTCACCTTATTTTAGATGAACCATTTTTGTTCAGAGTCATTAGAGAGCAAGTTGTTTTTACCTCAATGCTACTCAAAAATATCAGAAGAAATGTGCATGTAAAAAAAACACGGTTAGTTTTACAAAGCAGAATTGCATACCATTTTTTTACTTTTTTTATTTTTGTAGGTGGAGAGGACAGTCACTGTGCTCAAAGCGAGAAATATATCTGTGGGAGAAGGAGTCAAATCCACAACCTACATCAGAGTGAAGTCCGAGTCAGACTACCATCCAGGTGAGCCACTTTTACTTTACACCACTTCCCTTTTTTGTCCCATCTCAACACTGTGGGAAATTCCCGTCTCACCTTCCTAAAAATGAAAATAGAAGCAGGACATGATGTTGACCAATAGATGGCAGTAATATTGCACCGTTTACATCTAAGGGTTATAAACCTCAAACAACATTTTCCCCACCAATAAAGTATTGTTGATTACGGTAAATGTGTTTGATACAGAGGACTTCCTACGCTACGCTCATGGCATCCTATCAGAGTACCTCAGTGACGACCTCAGCAAAGCCCTCCTCAAACACCTGCAGTAAGTTCAGACATCTATTACACTTATAATCTTAATTATTAACAGATATCGGGGTGATCAAGCATGCCTCTCCTTTTTCTACTCCACAGGTTACCAGAGCTCACAAGCCCAAAGGAGCCAGAACCTCCTTCCAAGGTATGTTAGCGCCTCTCTAAGAAGTGTAACGTTACTATAGCTGTTATATACTCTTTCTGCATGCTTTAAACTCACAGTGTATGCTTTCTGTAGTGCTCCACCTCACTAACATTGTTGCATTGTGCTTGGGTGTTTTAACCTGCTTGGTGTGTGTTCTATGGTTGCTCTTTGTCATGAAAAGCTTGTCTTACTTCCTCCTTCTGTAGAAGCGGAAACTTTCTGAATTACCTGTGGAGGCTGAAGAGGACTACACTAAATTCAACAGTGCAGACTTTGCGCGGAAAGTGAGTTTATACAGAGCTACCTGAATAGACCAAACAATCAATGGAGGAATCTGAGGCATTGATCCCTTGCTTTGACTGTATCATAATAACTTATGGGCTTATCTTTGCTTTCATCTCTGCAGTGTCGAGTAAAAAACCTTGAGTGATTGTTAGCATAGCTCTTGTTTGTTGAAGGTCTTCTTTAAGCTTTGTGTGTAGTACACATGGGTTAAACTGGCTTACCTTGGGGCGACATGTTTTTCTTAGCTTCTATAGAAGTAAATGATGTGTGATTAATTCCCTACTGTGTCTCTGCAGAGGTGTTGAGTTGTATGGTATTGATCTTTTCTGCCCTTTATTCCAGCCACCAAAGAAGATGACAGCAGCTCAGAAATCTCTGGCGAAGGGGGACAAAACTGGCATGAAGTCGATGTCCTCCTTCTTCAGCCCCAAAGTCAAAGCAGAAAAGAAGTGAATGTTGTTTAGTTCCTGGTTTTGTATATGAATCATTTGTAATAAAAAAAAAAAAATGTATTGGACATATGCTCTTCATTTGGATTCATGGTTTGAATGAGAATTAAAAAGGCATGAGAATTAAAAAGGCATGTTAATTAGCATTTTAACCTCATTATTGTTTGTATTTATATACGACTTTACAGTATTTGAGCAACTTGTTATACTTATACCTCTTAAGATATAAACTGTTGTACCCTTGTACATGTATTTCTTTAGTTACTAGTAACTTGATATCAGCTTTAACAAATCGCTCGCATGCTGGGCAAATACATCCAGAAATACCATCATTGCACATTACAAAAATGTAACTTTTTTTTCTTATTGGGTGAATTGACCCTTTAAAGTCAAAGTCAGCTTTATTGTCAACATTTCTACATGTGGTATACATACAGAAATCTTGAAATACCGTTTCTCGCAGTCCATTTTAACTTCAGGAAACGAACAGAATAACCTTAGCTGGTTTTGAACTTTTTCAGTCAGTGCAGCCTTGGGACTCGCCTTACAAATCCACTCGTCTCTCAGACTTTTCGTGCAGGAGGGAAACATGTTTACCTTTCAGCCGGGCTTGAAGGACATTGTTGCAATTTAACTCTGGCTTTGATTCCTCAATTCAATGGGAGTCTCTGCAGGGCCAAACCATGAACTGTACTCAATCTAAACTCCATACCATCACGCTATTATATTTCTTTTTTCCTATTTAATTCAGTTTAAAGGACATTTGAACAATGCTACTGATGCATGGGTTGAAGGCAGGCGTATTGTGAGATGTCTTTAAAGAAGTCTCATTTATAGTGGCATATAATTGATACATATAAATCACATAATTAATTTGTTATTAATCTGCTAAGGTTTAAAGCCCTGAAACAAACGACACTTGATTGGCTTTTTCACAGGAGATGTATTGACATGTCAGAACTGGAAGGAAACTTGAGAAGGTCATTTCTGAAGACCCTGCAGCGTGAATAGTGGATGTTGAAAAGCAGACACTAAACTGGATTGCTGGCTTTTATAATAGAAAAATACCAATACTGTGTGAAAGATGTTAAACATTGTAAGGTATAAATGGAGTTTCTTGATTCTTGAATTAAGCTGAAGCATACTTTTTTAAACTGCTTCTCAGTACAAATATTACTAAACCAAGAGAGAAAAGACTTTGCCGAGTGCATTGATGTAGATTTGATGTGAGGATGGGAGCAGTTAAATAAACATTGTCTGCTTTCTTCCAGAAACATCCTGTCTCAGTTATTATTGGGGTCTGTGCTGCAGCTCCTTGTTTCTCCTCTCACTTTCAGGCTCGGTGAGAGATGTAGAAGTCTGTCTGCTTCAAATGCTACATTGTATTAAAGAGCACACATTTCCCTACTGGTTGTATCCTAAATTATGTTCTAAAAATGTTTAAACAACACAACATTTTATAAGATTTCTTTTTTCTTGTCATGCACTTTTGGAATATTTTGATGTTCGAAGGAAATTTGTAAGCTGAATATTTGAAACATGTTTAGTGCCAGTAAAGATAACGTGAGTATAATAATTAAGAGTTGAAAGAACAAAGATAGTGAATAGAGATTGCTGCCTGTAGCTGATGATGGACTTTTGCTGATAGCGGCTGAATTCATGCTCCTAGTTTTGGGGGTCATGATATTGTGCATGCTGGTTCTTCGTAACAGTATCAAGGCTTACTGGGAACCTTGAATAAAACGGAGAAATTGTTCATGTTCTCAGTGCAAGCCATTGTCAAGTCAAAATGTCTGAGGGTAAAAAAAAGGAAGTATGTTGTTGGCTTGACCGATATCTTTTTTTTTACAATTTGCTTTATTAAAATTATTTTGAGGACATATTACGCTAATTTCAGGTTCATATTTGTATTTTGTGTCTCGAATGTTACATAGAGATGTCACAATGGAGGCATTTCAGAGTGTGTGGGGTTTTAGCCTTTGCAGACCATTTACATGCACACAAATCTATATAACTAAAGGAAAGGGAAAAACCCCAAAAAGCACTATAGGGCCTCTTTAATTGTCCGGATGGAGTTTTAGCAGAGCATAGTGCAGGTCCATACAAACTGGGTTGAGCTCTTCGTCAGCAGAGTGGCAGTGCCGGTGGTTTCGAATGTCCATCAAGCTTCACTGCTTTTTTAATTTGGGTTTGAAGCGCAGAGTCTGGAATGCGCTCTCCACCACTTTGGGCAGATGGATCGGGTTCCTCTGCAGCCGCAGTCTGCTGCTGGTCGACCCGCTCTTGTTTTTCTTCTTCGGGGCACTTTCCTTGGCACACACGTGTACTTCCTTCTGCTTGGAGTCATCCGCGACCCGAGGAACCCGTAGGACCCAGTTAGAGTGGAGGTCGTGTTCGGCAGAGCTGGAGGCCACTGTGGGAGAGAGGAGAGCCGAGGGCAAGCACATTAGTTGAAGCTGAGAGCAGTCGTTTTGAGACCAGAAGCTTTCTTTACTGGACATTAAGAATCTGAACGATTTTAACTCAGCGGCAAGCCGTTTGTATCGGATTAATTTGTTGATGTATAGATAACCATCTGGAAAGATTATCTTACAAATGATGTCATGCTATCTCAATCTTTAACACACTATATGTCATTTTTGTTGCCATTATGGGCTAAAATAAGTAGGAGTTTGTCGGCGTTGTGAAGTAGTGTGGGATCATGGGAGATTACATCCTTTGTTGTCATTGCAGTCACATTCATGGTTAGGATTCTTTAGGCATTCAATTGTCAGGTTTTTAACCCCTCTACAGAAATATTCACGAGATCTCCTCCTCTCCAAACCAATGCACACGGTTAGTAAAACGGGTGAAAACAATGAACCATATCGTTTTATGTAAATAATCTGTGTTTCCCCAGTGGAAAAAGGACAGAGGGACAGCTACGTTTCCTCAGCTTGTTTCCCTGATAACTTCAAATCTAGACGTCCGACAACTAAACCCCTAATGTAGGTAAAATATAGTTAAAACAACAAAGACCTAAATATATACCATTACATATACTATGCGGCTGTGAGGTGGTGGGTTGAAAGGGTTGTTGGTTTGATTCCAGTTCCTGCAGTCAACTAAACCCCAAATTGGTGTGTAAATGTTAGCTTCCTTGAACTTCATTGTTATTGTATTAAATTATTTATTGGGTTCTAATTGTGACTGCATTCATATGAAAGCAACTTTTTTTAATAACTAATAGAAGATGCAAATACATCAAATATATATAATAAAGTACAATTATTGAGCAAATATACTGATATGAAGAAGAAGAAGAAGAAGAATTGGGAGGGATGAAACCCTCTTTTAATGGTCACACATGCAGAGCACACAGCACACACAGTGAAATGTGTTCTCTGCTTTTAACCCATCCTAGTACAAGGAGTCTAGTACTAGGAGCAGTGGGCAGCTATTGAACAGTGCCCGGGGAGCAATGGGAGTGAGGGGGGAAGGGGGGTGTCCGGTGCCTTTCTCAAGGGCACCACGGCAGGGCAGGAGGTGAACTGGGACCTCTCCAAGTACCAGTCCACACTCCATATTTTAGGTCTGGTCGGGGACTTGAACCGGTGACCCTACAGCTCCCAGTCCAAGCCCCTACTGACTGAGCCACTGCCGGACAATGCCGGTTGTCATATGACATGACAACCCTGATCATCTCTCATTCACAGTGGTGGAAGAAATGTTTAGATCCATTAATAAAGTAAAAGTAGGTGAATATTATATTTTGTGTAACAAGTATCCAAAGTGAAATAACCAAAGTACTCATTAGGCATAAAAACAATCCCAGTTATCTTTGCATTTTAATTTATTGTATCATGGGCTAATTATTATGAATGCACTTTCATTCCACCATTGATTGTCTAACCCTGAATACAACCATTTTTAGTGTCTAATCTTTATTTAATAGTAGAAGGCTTGCAGGCCCGAAACCCCAGCACCATTTCAGTTATAAAAAATCATTCCAAACTCACCTATGAAGTCCACATCTGCGTGTCCATCATCCATATACGATTTTCGCAAAGGTTCGCTGTCACAGCCGGCGATGACCGCATCAAAGAACTGCAGCGAGTCCTCCACGTTGGGGACGGGAGGAGCTGAGGGTTTGGCTCGTGATATCTGCGGGAAAAGAAAAAAACATTTGTCTTTGATATTGCCTGCCATGTGCTCTGCTTTGGATCATTTAAGCTTACCGTTCCTTCCTTTGTAGGCGGAGGAGGTGCATGCTTCTTCTTGGAGGACACTGTGGCCTTTGAGTCATTACTTTTGAAGTCACTCACGCTCTTTGTGTACTGCCGTCTCAAAGCCACAAGTGCTTCCAGGTACTCCAGGCAGTTCTGATTCTGAGAGTAGAGCCAAATCCTGTCCTCTTGTCTCTGATAGTAGTACAAGGTCGACTCGATGCTCACTGTGCTTTTGCTGCGTTTCAAAGTGGAGCTCACGACTTGAGTTTTCTCTCCCACCACGAGCATGGAGGTGCTGCGGACCAGCCGGACGGTGCAGGCGCTGTGGTAGTCCTGCTCCGACCGAACCCCCCCCGCATCCCGCCCTCTGGGTCCGTGTTGGTTGGGACGAAACACATTGTTAATCTTCCTGAACATCCCTCTAAACAAAGTATGTCAGGGTAGCAGACGTGTCTTTAGGTTCCTTAGTGTTGGTGAAGCATCTATCCATATTCAGCCCCCTTAAAGCCAGACAATATGTCTCAGAGCAAACGAACACAAATAAACTTGACTGGAGCTCTTCACTGTTGCTGTCCAGGGTGCTGAAATGGCCAAATGGCTGCTCTCTGGTGACACAAAAGCAGGTCAGAGTTTCTGGTAGTCTTTAATGTTTTGGGGTGTTGCTTAGCGACATCGCTGTGACAACAGGTCGGTAACCCTACACTTTGTGCTGCCATTACTGCTGCGCAGCCGGCCTGTGTCAGATATCCTGAGTCATACGGGACTCAGTGGGCAAAATAACAACAACCAGCAGTCTGACAAACTGTAGCTGCACCTCTTGAGGCAGTGAATGCTTCCTTAATAAACCATGTTTTAAACAAGACAGCATAAAAGAAGATGCAGGCATGTTAAACTGTTCACATTCCTGGGTTTGAATTCAAATGTGATAAAGATCAGAAGATGCTTAGAGGTGAAACTCTTAAAATGCTTGTGTCGATATGAACGATTAAATAAGAAGAGAAAATAGAAGAATCTATATCAAAATAATACATTTAGTTATGTGAACCACTTGGATATTGTTACAAACACCAGAAGTGATATGATGTTGACTTATGTCTAGGTCTCCTCACCTGATTAATAATAAAACACGCTCTCTCGTGTTTCATGTGCCTCTAATGATGTCTTCCCTGCTGAAGGCAGAAGACGTCTGAATACAAGAGTGAACTGAAGCGAGGCGTACATGCAGACAAGGAACTGTCACTTTGGAAAAATCCCGGCACATGAATATATAAAGCTCGAGAGTTTCCATTACTGTACCAGATAACTGATTTAAAGGATGGATGATTCAAACAAAAGGAGGAGCTCAAAGGTGGTGAAATTAAATATCACCGAAAGGCACAATCATGTTTACGAAAGCAACAGCATTTACTTTAGCTGAATGGTTTCAAAGAGGAAATGAAGAGTTGTGGTTACCTAACACAGCGTGAAGTCACATTTCTGCTTTTGCCTGCAGACACAGTTAAAGGTAGGGTAGGTAAGTTTGAGAAACCGGCTCGAGATCGCTAGAATTTGAAAATACACAACCGGAGAAAATCTGCCACTTCCTTATAGAGCCCCTCCTCCAACACACACGAACGCGCACATGACCAATGAGGGCACGAGATAAGTTTGTGCACAGATGGAAGGCTGACAGGCAGATAGGCCATCCAGCTGGCCCGGCTAAAATGATTGGTCGTACTTTTTACAGTACTACGGCTTCCACAGATTACATTTTTTTATGGATTATTTGTCAAAGCACTTAAGATATTCATTGCTATCGGGATGTTAAGAGCATTCCATGGAATATAACAAAAAGTGTATCTCGAGCCGGTTTCTCAAACTTACCTACCCTACCTTTAACAGGAGTCAAGCGAGTAGCTCTAAAATGCAGTTATTCAACATAAAAACCTCAAATAAAGTCCTCAAACAGAGATAACTCGGAGTGTGTGATGGGACTTATCAGAGAACGAAAACAGGAAGCAGCAACTGTCGACCTTTCAGTTTCCGGATAATTTGTATCATATTAAATATAACTTTCTCTTCTGGTTTTAACTTGACCTCAAACGCACACCTGTTTCTTTTTACGTGGAAACAGAACTTCTGTGGTTTCCTTTTACAGTGTAGGTTGCATTTATAGAATACAACATCTGCCATTTCACTTCATGTTGCAAGAGGACAAACTGAAGCAGAGGTTGATACATATTTATTGTAAGAAGTTAAATAGATATCATTTGAAATAGTATGAACTACAGCAGGATATGCTCAGCCTGATATCAGTATGCAAAAGGAAGAGTTAGAGTATATTTAGGATTTAGCCAGCTGCAACAATAAGTGTGCAGAAATGGGAAGAAAGAAAAACATCGACCATTCCCACTTCCTCTAAGGGTGGTTTATAACAACCCTCGCCCATGAACGCACCGTTACTCATGCAGCCACATTGGGTAGGGTGTGCGATAGACACATGCAATGTTTATAAGAAGTTCTTTGTGACTGAGGAACAACACTTGGCACCCTGAGGTGAAAGCTGACCCAGAGACGGTGATTCTGCTCCAAGGTAGGTTCTTTTTTTAGAGGAATATGATTCATCTTTGTGATTTTTTTCCTATTTGGGAAATCAATATGTTACCTTAGCTCACCCTCAGAACTCTTAAATCATTCATAGGATCATTTCAGACTCAGATGAAACAGATTTTAAATTGGAAATCATTCATAAAGTCATCAATGGTCTGGTGTTAGACTGAGCTTTACTGTAAATGTAATGTATCTGTTTTGTGCCGTTTTATTTGTTTTTGTTGAGTTTTGTGTATTTGTTTAGCAAACTAGTTGAGGCGGTTTATTCTCTGTCGCAGAACATTAGTCCATGCTATATGTTTTTTATGTACGATAGGGCTGGGTGATAATTCCATATCATCTTTTTCATCCTAAATGGGATTGTATTGTGATTAAATCATAGATCATATGTTGATACACAATTAGAATGAATAGCACATACAAAATACATTTTTTAAGATAGTCTGATGAGACGTATTTTGAGGGGATATCATTTGGAGATGCAGGGCTGCACAAATTGGAAATGATACCCTACTGCGATCATTTTGACTGATGTTGCCAATATAGAAGGGATACTTTCTTTTGTATCATTATTGCTACAAAATATTTTTAAGATTCACTTGATTGAAGAGGATCTCTGCCCAAAAGATAGGTATCTGGATGTAAGCCAGGATGTCTTGTGCACAATACCTCTTTTATAAAACATGCTATATTGATGTATGTCATCATCAAGATATGAATGGCATATATCAGGAAGAAGATTTCGGCCATATTACCTAACCCCGATATAAATACAAATAACAGAATATAAATCTGCAGTATTATGGAAGATGCAGCTTACCAAACCTTTACACACAGCATACTGACATGCAGTGTTAATAACTCTGATTCTGAGAATGTCATTTTTTTTCTCGCAGCCATGCTTTGTGAGGGCAGATTGTTGAGAATGACCTATGGCGAGCTGGAGGAGCTGGATCCTCTCCCTCCTCAGAACGCTCCCCAGAGAGTTTACGGTCTGCCGAGAGCAGCTGCGACCCTGGTGCCCGGCTCCAGCAGACACTCTCCACTCCTCCATCACAATTCCCCCGAGCTGACGGGTTGCTTGGACAACACCAGTGATCCGGTGGAGTTGTACATTTCCCCGCTGCAGTCCTTTGACGTCCTGGCAGCCCGGCCATGCAGACAGATCTCCCCGGAGATAGAGATCCCGGCTCAGGCTCGCTCAGTGGGCGACGCTCCTTTCTTGGTCCCCTCCTTCTGTCAGAGCATCTGCCAAAATTACAGCGACCTCCATATTGGAGGCGACCATGTGCTGCCTCTCTCCACCAATGACGGTGAGATCCGAGTCTGTCCTAAGGCGAATGCTGTGGGCCCTTTCCTCCACTCCTGTGATGTCCCCTCAGCTGTGGAGGACTCTCCCCCAGGACACGCAGCTCAGGGTGGGCTCCTGCATCCTCTGAGGGGGGGCTCAAATCGCTGGAGAATGGGCAGTGCCCGAGATCGTAGCTTTTTGTTCCAGGGCCGTGAAGGTCCGTTCTCCAACTCTCTTCTAAATCACTACCTGGAGCAGAAACTGTTGGATTTGTACCAGCAGTACATGATGGAGAACATGGCCAGGGAAGGAGCCCCTGGTTCTGACTCAGACCCCATCCCTCTGCTGGGCTCAGAGCTGGTCCTCACCAGCCTGGACCAGATCACTCTGCAGCTGAGCCGGGAGGGGAACCTGGAGGCCGGCCTGGCCAAAGACCTGGTCCTCAGCTGCCTGCTGCGGGTGGCCGGAGACATGCAGTCCAGCGAGATCAGCACCCCCTTCCTGCAGATCTCCAGTGAAGTGTCCAGGGAGCAGCTAACAGAGAACAGAGAGGAGAAACCGTAGTGAGAATTCTCCCTTTCAATATAGGTTGGTCACCAAAATAAAAAAACGAACTAACTAACAACTTGTGTTTCTTTTCTAGTTTTCCCTCTTTTTTTTTTTAATAAGCTCTGGAGAGGATGGTGTTGTAAGAAAAATCTGATGCGTCAATGTTATGACAATCTAATGTGTCATCATTTTAGTAGTTTATGGGCTGGTGCATTTTTCACTTTCTAAAAGGACAATAAAGACAGGAACTGAAAACTGAAACTGCTCTCAGCATGTTCAAACTGCTAGGTCTTTGCATAACGATAAACATAAATGTCTCTCTATGGTTAGTGAAGAAGAACATGGTCTCAAGTCCTTTAGGGAACTTTATATACAAGTTTGAAAATCAACAGGTTTTCTCCATTATCTTTTATTTAAATGGAATAAACTCATGCTGGAAGCAGAGATGCCCTCCACCTTAAAAAGGTATTTTGCTTTTAGTCGCTTCACCTGGTTGTTCGACCTTCTCTGTGAATAATAATGTACAGAGATGTGCAGAGATTGACACTAGAAGGGCTGTTTGAAATACATATATTTTGGTAAAAGCATGTGGTTCAATATGTGGATGTGGAAACTTGAAACCTACCGTGCACATACCCAGAAATGTAGCTTTTCAGATAAGCAGGAGCTTTCCAGTAGTCAAACTTAAGAACATTTTTTATTCTGGATTCTCAATGAGGTTGAAGTTGTAGAAGTCTTAATATCCCTCTTACAAAATATGTTTGAAGGGCTCTTCAACTACCTGTTCATATGCTAAGAGTATTGACATCTCTGATCAGAAGCTGAGAAGTAAAATACAAATCACAGAGCAAGCCATTTTTACCGTGCACAATCAGATAGTATTAAATGCCACCATTTTGCTTATGAATACATATATTGTTGTGTCTAAAGATGTATTACACATGTTGGTCATTCATGGTTATTCCCATGCTCTGCTGCCGATGATGAAATGTCATTAATGAGTCTGCAGTTTATTAAATGGGCACAAGGGGGAAGCATTATCACCTTACTTATTAACCCCGATGACTTTGACACACACCTTCTTCTCCTTTATTTTATTCCTCATCCTCTTCACCGTCTATCCCCCTCCCTCACACAACATCCATCCATCCACTAATGCTATATCATCTGCTAATCCATGATGTCATCAGGACTCAGTTGTAAATCTGAAGCACACAGGCAAATGTAACACTGTGTCTGATACTGGTTTCTAAAGCTTGAGATAAGGTTATCTTCACCTCGTGATTTATTTTTAGGAAATTATTGCACTAGCACAAATGAGAAGCTCGGCAGTGCTGCAGACCGATGCAATGACAATGTTATTTCTTTCAGGTTTCCACGTATTCAAAAGTGCTTTGAAAGACCTGCAACTCTATTCCAGCTTCTTGCAGCCGTGGCCTTCTGAGGCAGCGTTTGATCAGCTTCCTTGTTTCCTGTCCAAACAGAGAGCCACAGGAGGAAACTGTGTTTACCGAGCCGCAGTCGGAGCCCTGTGAAGTCTCAAGGCTGCCGAGACACATGTTTGGTATTTCTGCTTCTATCCGGATTGAACATTCCAGGTACATGTTAGAGGAACCGAATCCTTACAGACCTAAACAAAAACACGCTCGTTTATAAATATGATTCACCTGATGCCAAGCTCGGCATCGTGAGCGTATTCAAACAAACTGATTCCACAGACCCTGGAAACATGAAAAACAGACTCCTCTTATTCCAGCGGAGGTTAGGAATTGTTTACAGGGATGAAGGTAACGTTACACACTGCAGTCTCTTACACACACAAGCTGCCAATATTTACCCTGAGATTCACCAAATTACACAACTTATTTACCTTTCCTTGTCAAAAGCTTAACAAATCTCCCACTGGGTGTTTTTTTATTTAGCTGCAAAAAGCATAAATAAAAGGGCAAAGACGTTTTTTATTTTCTGTAATTAGCAGCAGTTTTCCTCTTAGAGAAAAAGTGAAACTAAGGTCAAAGAATAAAAGGTTAAAGCCATGAAATGAGAGCAGGGCCAGAAAACGGATAAAACGAACTGCAGCAATTTCAAAAAAGAAAAAAACACCTCACACTTCTCTCATGGTCTAGCGATG